CTCCTCCAACACCATAACTCAAAAGCATCAATTCTTCTATGGTCTTCCTTATTCATTGTCCAGCTTTCTCATACATATGAGGTTATTGAAAACACCATGGCTTGCGTCAGGTGCACCTTAGTCCTCAAGCTGACATCTTTGCTCTTCAACACTTTGAAAAGGTCTTTAAAACAACTTGACATATAGTTGTTGTTAAGTGCTGTCAAGTCAGTTCCGAATCATAGCAACCTTGTATAGGATTTCCTAAGTGTCAAAAATCATTGCTGAATGAATGAATGCACTCATTTAAGTGACCAAATTACCGGCTCTTCATAGTATTATTTTGTTGACTTGCAGATTCCAACTCCTTCACAATTCAAAGGAGCAAAACTTACAATAGAGAAATCTTAAGAATTAGAAAGCAACCTGCGTCAGCTAATTCTTTTGACTCCAGGAGGCTTCCCTTTCAAACTATAAGAAGAGTCAAAACTTACCGCTAGGGGCAGGAGGCTAGCTTGCAATATGTGCCCTTTGGACATTTAAAATTAATATATTTTTTTGTTTCATCTGTATACATCAAATATTTTTGCTTTGTTGATTTGTGAAACCATAGAGGGGAAGCAGGATAACTGTTGTTGCAGGGAGGGGATTGCAATCATTGAGATGAAACAAAACATATGATTGGTTGACAGTAAAGATGATGATCTTGTCTGTTAACATTCACTCAATTCACAATAAAAAGTAAAACAAAAACAAAAAAACCTTACCCCTGGCAGCTCATTGTCCATGAGAGTATTTATTATGGCAGCTACAGTCCTGTCTCTAAAAAGCAACAGGAGGCACCAATGCACCTCTTCCAGGCATCCTCTACATTGACGTTGATAAGGTATTGACCCCACCATTACCTGGAAAGCCGATCAGGACAGATGCCTGTCAGTTGGGGATGGAGCTGCCAGCCAGCCGAAGCTCTGTGTAACCCATTGTTTCTAGACAGTGGCTGGCTGCAGAAACCTCTGAGCTCTCAGGCTAGCTGTGACTTCGTAGAAGACACTGAGGTATACCAAGGAAGGGACCTGAAAAGTAAGAAGAATAGAAGATGAAGGCAGAGTGAATAATGCACCACATGGTGGCTGGGAAGCAGAGACCATTTTTCCTGAGGGATGGGCCAAGGACTTGGCTACTCCCCTGACCATAAATGGCTTGGCAGGGATTCTCCAACCAGTGGGCTTTCTTGGAGCCACTCCTTACCCTGCTGCCCTTGGTCTCCCAGTGAATGCTTCTACAAATGGGAGACACAAGTCAATAACACCAATGCCCCGGAGGAAGGAGCTTAAACTCGCCTAAAGAAGTATTGGGCAAAAGCTTTTGGAAGGCTATCAGAAATGGTGAGTGAGCATTCAAATCTTTTCTTAGTCTAACCCTGATCTCTTTCTATTAGTCAATTCCTAAGTTTTAAAATCTCAAGTCTCATAATTCCATGTAATGGTTATTGTTGTTAAGTGCTGTCGAGTCGGTTCCGACCCATAGCGACCCTGTATAGGGTTTCCAAGGAGCAGCTGATGAGCTTGAACCATTAACCTTGTGGTTCAAACGACTTTACCATCTAGCACATTAACTCACAGAGCCACAATGGTATTTTGCCTAAATTCACTTACTGGACCCTCAGTACAATGAATTCAAGGGGTTTGGTTTTTAAATATTTTTCTGTGTATAAATCACCAATCATTAAAAAAAAATCTAATCTAATCTTTTTCAGCTTTCTCCTCCCCACACACACACACCGAAACCCCCACAGATTAGCTTCTTCAGTGCCATGAATTTCCAAGTCAAAGCAATGGGTTCCATCTTTGTTCAATCTGCCTTTTGCTATATTATCAGGCATGGAGATATTCATAAATTTCTTTTTTTTTTTTTGACTGGTGATACAAGTTTGATTGTGACTCAGTGAAATGAAGTGTCCTAAATTAAAAAGAAAAACAGAAGAGGTGTTTGTGATTCTTTTATCAGAGGGATTTTTTAAAGGAGTTGAATTTAGGGCTTGAAAGATTTGTGACGTATTATTAGCTGGTGACCTTCAGGAACCTACCTCAGACTCAGCTTCCACAAATCTATGGTTTGGGTATAAAAGCACTTACTTCACTGAGAAGTTGTTATTACTGTCCCTGATAGACAGCACACTCCCTCCTTCCCCCGATAAACAGCAGGCTCATAACACAAGTGACGCTCAGTCGCTGAGATCCTTCAGAACTGTTATAACGATTTTACGTAAGTATAAGTCATTGGTGTGAAGTTGATTCCAGCTCTCAGTGACACTATAGGATAGAGTAGAATCGTCCCAGGGGGCTTCTAAGTAAATAAATCTTTACAGAAGCCAACTGCCACATCTTTCTCCCATGAGTAGCTGGTGGGTTTCAACTGTCAACCTTTTGGTTAGATGCTGAAAGCTTAACCATTATGCTACTAAGACTCCTAATCTATAATGTGTTGTATCAAATTCTGGTACTTTGAATATTGCTAACCCATGCATGCAAAATGAGGCTTTCTGCTCCCGTGAAGACTTGCAGCCTCAGAAACGCCATCCAGGGTCGCTGTCAGTTGGAACTGACTCAGTGGCAGTGAGTGTGTATGTGAGAGAGCTAATCCATGCATGCAATCCCATCTGGCAAAAATTTGCCAAGTGGCTTCCTTGTACCTCGCTCTGTACTAGACAGACCATGAAGATGATGGTATCATGTGGTCCCTCACAACCTAGAATATTTTACGGTTGGGAAAAAAGCTAACACAGATACTATCTTTGGACTCATCCAGCGAGGTGGACCAGATACTTCCACATTTTGGGAATGGAAAAACTGAGCTAGGAAGAGTAGGTCTAGGGTGAAGAAATGGAGACCAAAGAGTCTGAATGACTTGTCAAAGAATACACAACTACTAAGTGACTGAGTCAGGACTCAAATCCAAATCAAGTGACTCTAATGCCCAAGGTTGCCTCAGCCCACCCAGCTGCCTCTCTAAAGGGCACTTCATTTGATTCTTTTCTACCCAAATCTGCACAGTGTGTTTATCTCTACAAGATCACTGTATTGTGCTTCTACAAAACATGAATAGCTTTCTAACATTGGCCAAAATCTTTGTCATCCAAATGTTGACAAACAGTGTGTGCAATTGACCACTTGTTGCTGCTCCCCCCTTCTGTTGTCTCTCCAAAGAATGCTTTGTTCTAAGCCTGCTGACATCAGTGCCCAGTGTCCACTGATGAGATAAGGCTCTGGGCAGCTGTGTTCCTCAAAGCAGGGACCATTAAGTGTCTCTATAGCACAAAGGGCAGTGATTAGATTCCTTGAGCAAAAGGACCCTGCCCTAAGGTGTGTCCCAGATGTCCCACTTGCTCTAGCATTGTCTTAAAAGAAGAGGTGCATAGTTTTGTGAGCCTGGGGCCTCCACCTAGTCTGCAGAAACTGTAGGAGTTGAGTGGAATCTTTGTGGAGTGGGAAAAGGCCTCTAACCAGAAGACCTGAGTTCTGGTGACAACCATCTCGTTGTGTGAACTTGGGCAACCCAGTCACATTCTTGAGCCTCCTTGGCTCAATGTTAGGGCATCCTATTGTTAAGAGAAAGAGAGAAGTGAGCAAAATCCCCACTATAGCATGCCAGCTGAATGAGGCCATCAGGCTTGAAGAGCAGAATTGGGGGGGGGGGGGGGGAATGAGGCGGGGGAGAGGGCCAGAAAATATCCCATGGATATTCACAAATGATTTTCTCATTTATTAATCCAACCAAACTTCAACCTATCAGTAAGTGAGCTAAAATAGGTGTAACAGTAAGCTTGCATATATCACTTCTAGAACTACGTTTTGAGTCGGGGTTGAGTCACACGGACAGAGCTCATTTGGCTTGCTTTAAGAGATGGAGACCGTTCTCATTTATTCATGAGACAATTCATGATGAGTCCCTGAGTCTCACTTCCTCTTCAATAAAATAAGGGTTTTGAGGCAGATGGTCTCTGAGGCATTTCCAGTCTAAAATTTTATGATTTTTAAAAGATTTTTAATCCTTCACATTGCTTGGAATTCCTATTGTTGGATACCACCAACTCTAAGTACTTAGCAAATGCATTGATTCCTAGAACAATGTAACCTGGTCCTGGCGACCTTAGGGAAGATCAGTAGGTAGAATGCAGGCAAAAGCCCTGGGAGTCAGAAAGGTTAAGGCCGACTAGGGGCCCAGACAAGCAGTCATTAATCAAGGAATGCTGGGAAGCAGAAACAAGACCACTCAGCCCAGGGCCACAAGGAATAGAAAGGATCACCAGCTGAGTTAGAAGAGCCCACCCATTATTCTCATCCAGGCAGGAAAGAGACCCAGTAAAGAACCAGCTCACAAAGCAGGAGTGTCAGTGGATAGAGGTCAGAGGAGGAAAGAGTCACCTGCAGCCTCAGGCAGGATCTGGTCCTGATAAGTGGAGTCTGGCCAGGCTAACAACTTGGTGTCGCATGGAGCTCATGATCTTTATATGTTGATTCCATGTTTAGGGAGAGGTAAGACCGAGCCCATGGAGATCTGCTGGTGCACTGGCTAAAGTGTCCCACTGCTAACTGAAAGGTCACTGGCTCAACCCAAGAGTGGCTCCTCAGGAGAAAGAGGCGGCCGTCTGCTTCCATAAGGATTTGTTGTTGTTAGGTGCCATCGACTCAGCAAAACTCAGAACAGAAGGAAACACTGCCTGGTACTATGCCATCCTCACAATTGTTGCTTCGTTTGAGCCCATTTTTACAGCGGTTGTGTAAAGATTGGTGGTGGTATGCATGGACTCATAGTGACCCTGCATAGGGTTTCCGAGGCTGTAAGTCTTTACAGGAGAAGAAAGCCCCATCCCGCGGAACAGCTGGTAGTGTCGAACTGCTGACCTTGAGGTTAGCAGACGGATACATAACCACTACGCTACCAGAACTCCTTGGAAGCTCTATTGGGTAGTTCTACGGTGCCCTGTAGGGTCGCTATGAGTCAAAATTGACTCCCTGGCAATGGGGAGAGTAGGTACCGAGTGAGGGAAGAGTGGGGGAAGATTAGACTCTCCTCGATGATCCTAATCAGTTTCTCTTTAGCCCAGGATGTTTGTGTTGGGTTCAGCTAAAATGGAAGCCTTGTCTTTACCAGACTGAGTCCTCTTAGAAGGTGCTTTAGGGATCATGTGCTCTTGTTGGAGCATGACCCTCTTGGGATCCCACTTCCTGCCCACAAATGGAGTATCAAAGTACTTCTAAACTATACAGTTTTCTCTCTGAAAGGAGTTCTGGGAAAGCAAACTTCAGCACTTTGCTGAATTTCTAGCAATGTTTTTGTGGATCAATCAAGAGCCCCTTGGTTGGGCCTTAAACTAGCCCTCCTTGTGGACTTGGGGAAAGGAAAGGGATGCTAATGGGGGAACTCATAACCTCAGGCTCCTTTGTCCCTTGTCCCAAACTCAAACACTTTGGGACCAAGATTAGTAATAGAAACTGGGGCTGAGTGAGTTTTCAGGATCAATAGGTTCTCTAAGAGCCATCCGGACCCAGTGAAGTTTCAGGGAGGGGTCACAAGCTAGGGTGACCATTCTTGGGCGCTTTAATGTTTCCTTCTGTCTTCCAGAGTTTTTCCCTAAACTTCACTCTGCTGACTAACACGGTAAGTACATCTGTCTTCATATGCCAGGCAAGTCAGGGAAGGCCAATGCAGAGACTTCTAGAGTTCCATCCCATAAATTACATATACAATGATAAGTTATGCAATTTTTCAAAATCATGTATAATAGTTGGAGGTGCTGATTTTTAAAAAATTTTAAATATTATAAGTACACATAATGGAAAATAGAAGAAAAAGCACCTAAATTTCCATCAGGAGAAAATATTTTGGTAAAGCTTATTCTAATCTTTTTTGATTGAATAAATTTTAACTTTTTTTTTGCCTTCATATAATTATGTTTTATATATATATATATATCATTTCCATTGCCTATATAATAAATATATACTCTAAATAAAATAAAGGATGGTCACTTGGTATATCATCAAGTGAATTAATTATAATTGGGAATCATTTGTGATAAAATTATTCTATATAAATCTTTGTCTACATTTAAGATTCTTTCCTTAGTATATAGTCTAGAAGAAGCATTATTAGATGAAGCAGCATGAGCACTTTATGCTCTTGATTATGGCATTTAATTTCAAGTCAAGATGCAGATTTTTCATTGTAAATGGCATAGTTCCAAGCATACTTGATCTTCATCTTCTGCTTTCCTGCGTGTGGACACAATAATCAGGTGTTGTGACCAACAGTGCTGCTATGATTGAGTTAGACAATTTTCTGGTCCAATTATCCAATGGGTTTAACTCTCTCAAATGTTTTTAGTGAGTTAGTTATATGGTTATTCAAAGAATATAAACTGAATGAGCCCAAGGCCTTCTCTCTTAACCCTATGCTCTGCCACTTACTGTAGTTTCCATGAGTTGGGAGCTAATATAGAACTTTGCTCCTTGAAATTTATGTCTCAGGGCAAGACTGTCACCTAAGCTTCCACTTCATAAATGGATTAAGTCTGATGCAGCTCCCTGAGTGGAAATGCGAGTCTGAAACATGAAATGCATTTATTCAATGTGGAATTATCATCAGGAGTGTGGATAGTTCACAATCTCAGACATCTCCAGAACTATTTGCTTCATCATTAGCTTGAAAACAAATAAAGCTTCCTCTAAGAGCCTTGTTTCCACAAGCATTTACATTTGTTTCCCTTTGGAGCAACAGGGAACAGCAGGCTGGACATGTGCTAGGAAGGTGAGAGCCACAGGGAGGAGAAAGCCTTTTGGGGTCACAAAATATGTTATGGCAAATCCACAGGTGAATAATGAAGACACTACTTAATTTTCTGAATTCTTTATCCTTGTATTTGAATTTCATTCCAATTCTTAAACGGGAAGCAATGAAGTAAGGTTTTCTTCTTTCCTTTTTTTTTCTTCTTTCTTTCTAAATGTAAACTCAGCAAACGGGTAAACTTGAGACAGTATAGCTGAACTTTGGACAGACTGTTTTGTATAATATATACGCAATAACTTTTGTTTTCTTAAGATAAATGTTCTTTGTCTACAGACTTCCTCTCCAGTTGTTACAGGTGCGAAAGAAGCAGTAAGTATATTGCTTCCTTTATAGAACCATGAGTTAATAATTTATAACAATATATAATAAGTTTCTACCCATGTTATGTGTTTGTTCTGAGGGCTAGGTAACAGTTCTGGCTACAAGACCTGGTTCAACAACTCACCTCAAAAGTGAAGGAGAGTTTGGAGATTCTTAAAAGGTTATACAGAATTACCGTGTGGTTGTTGTTAGGTGTCATCATATCAGTTCGGACTCATAAAGACCAGATGTACAACAGAATGAAACACTACCTAGTCTTGTGCCACCCTCAGAATTGTTATATTTTACCCCGTTGTTGCAGCCACTCTGTAAATTCATCTCATTGAGGGTTTTCCTTGTTTTTGCTGACCCTCTGTTTTACCAAGCATGGTGTCCTTCTTCAGGGACCTTGTTGTTCTTAAGTGCCATTAAGTCAGCTCTGACCTATAGCAACCCTGTATAGGATTTCTGAGGAGTGGTTGGTAGGTTTGAATCACCAACCTTGTGGTTAGCAGTCCACTGCTTATCCTATAGTGCCACAACAAGCTCCTCAAGGACCATGTTGTTGTTTGTTGTGAGGTGCCATCAAGTTGGTTCCAACTCATAGCAACCTTATGCACAACAGAATGAAGCATGGCCCAGTCAGGCACCAGCCTTACAATCATGGTTACACTGGAGCCCATTGCTGTTGCCACTGTGCCAATCCATCTTCTTGGAGGCCTCCCTCTTTTTCACTGTCCATCCACTTTACCTAACATGATGTCCTTCTCCAGGAACAGGCCCCTCTTGATAATATATCTGAAGTATGAGAGACAAAGTCTGGCCATCCTGGCTTCTAAGAAGCATTCTGGCTGTACTGCTTCCAACACAGATTTGTTTATTCTTCTAGCAGCCCATGGTGCTTTTAACATCCTTCTCTAATACTGTAACTCAAATGCATCAATTATTTTACAATCTTCCTTATTCATTGTTCAACATTCACATGCATATGAGGCTATTGAAAATACCATGGCTTGGGTCAGGTGCACCTTGTTCTCAAACAGAAATCTTTGCTCTTGAACACTTTAAAGAGGTTTTGTGCAACAGATTTGCCTAATGTGATACATTGTTTGATTTCTTAACTGCTGCTTCCATGGTTGATGGTGAATCCAAGCAAAAAGAAGTCTTTGAAAACCTCAATTTTTTCTCCATTTATCATAATGATATTTATTGATCCAGCGGTAAGGATTTTTGTTTTCTTTATAATGAAGTGCAACTCATATTGATGGATGTGGTCTGTGATCCTCCTCAGTGTGTATTTTAAGTCCTCTTTCCTTTCAGCAAACAAGGTTGCATCATCTGCATATCACAGGTTAATGAGTCTTCCACCAATCTTGATGCCACGGTCAGTCTTCTTCATATAATTCATATTCTTGAATTAGCTACTCAACAAATGCTTACTGATGAAGATCAAAGACCACAGCCTTCGGTATGGGTTGTACCACAATGTAAAGAAAACAAAACCCTCATCACCAAACCAATAAACAACATCCATATAAATGGATATGGCTGTTCAGATCAACCATCAACACTCATGGAAGCAGCAGTCAAGAAATCAAATGATGGATTTCAATGGGCAAATCTGCAACCTCTTTAAAGTGTTGAAGAGCAAAAATATCAGTTTAAGGACTAAGGACTAATATCATAATAAAAGGAGGTTTAAAATGTGTAGAGGAGAGCAGGCAAAAACATCAATGAATTTAACAAAATTGAGCAGAAGAGTCAGACACAAAAAATTAAAAATACTTTACAATTGGAACAATATCAAGTTCAAAACCAGGCAAAATTAATCTATGCTGATAGATGTCAGGATAGTGGTTGTGCTGGGGTGACTTGAAGGGAGCTTGCTAAGGCTCCTGGGATGCCGGCAATGTTCTTTTTCTTGATCTGGATTACTTGTGTGCACTCATCATATCATCCATCTACAGATTTGCAGTTTATATACTTTTATGACAAGCTATGGACAACATTGTGAAGTATGAGTATTCTGGAACACTTAATTGTGCTCATGAGGAA